GTGACTTCATGCTTTATGGTAAAGATGCTTCAAATATATGAAATCTAGGCAAAGTTGTTTCTAAAATGTACATCACCTAAAGGCTTCAGATATAGCAACAGAAACTTCCTCAGTCAGATAGAAATTGATCAGAGGTAACAGTAGCAATTAATGAAGTGACAGCAGTAAATGTTTTTCTCTGTGCACATCTAATTCGGGGCGGGGGGGGGAAGGGGGAAAGTGTATAACTGATTTGCTCCCATCAGTCCCAAATCACATCAAATCTCAGTGTGTTCACTCAGTCTTGTTAGAAATCAGGGACCATACAGAGACTCAGTGTTTTATTCATATTAGCACCACCAAGTCCCCATCACAGTCACTGTGCAGCACTTCTAACTACTGTGTCCTTCAGCCATTTCTCCAGGAAAAGTCTCTCCAACCAGAGACTCAGTCTCCAATGGGCTCTATTAGCTAGCCCCAACACTTCCTTCCTGTGCTTTTAATTAACCTCCCCAGCTGATGAGATAATTAGCTCATCAGCTCATTAATCCCCAGTCTTCTTAGGCAATTAAGTACTCTCCTCCTCCACCAGGTCTTTCCTGGTGGAGCTAATTACTGCTTAAGTGATCAGAGTGTGGGGTCAGCAACTGGCTCTCAGTACTCTGTCACAGACTCATACACAGGACCAAAGCGGAAACTAGTGGGAAATAAGGTTGTCAGGCATCCGATTTTTGACCAAATGCCCAGTCGAAAAGTGACCCTGGCGGCTCCAGTCGACACCACCGACTGGGCCATTAAAAGTCTGATTACCTGCCCTAGCTCCATGTGGCTCCTGGAAGTGGCAGCCAGGTCCCTGCAGCCCCTAGGTTCTGGGGCAGCCAGGGACTGGGAGGCTCCACGTGTTGTTCCTGCCCTGAGTGCCAGCTCCACAGCTCCCATTGGCCGGATAATGTGACCAATGGGAGTTGCGAGGGGGCAGAGCCTGCAGGCACAAAGACAGCGTGCAGAGCGTCCCTGGCTGCCCATGCTTCTAGAGGCCACAGGGACCTGGCGGCCGCTTCCTCAGAGCTGCAATAAGCGCCGATGGGACCCTGAACCCCCTTCCGCACCACAACCCCCTGCCCCAGCCCGGAGTTCCCTTCTGTGCCCCAAACCTCTCATCCTTGGCCCCATCCCCAGCTGGAGCCCTCACCCCTGCCCCTGCACTCCAACCCCTGCCCCAGCCAGGAATCCCCTCCTGCACCACTGCCCCAGCCCAGTGAAAGTGAGTGAGGGTGGGGAAGAGTGAGTGATGGAGGGAGGTTGATGGAGCGAGTGGGCAGGGGAGAAGGGGGGGGCATGAGAGGGGCCTTGGAGAAGGGGCGGGGCAGGGGTGTTCGGTTTTGTGTGATTAGAAAGTTGGCAACCCTAGTGGGAAACCTACATAAATGTAAGTTAAAGTTCTCATTTAAACATCCAAACATGTCTTTATATGTCCTAATAAGTTTCTTCTGTTTGAAAATACCCTGAAGAGGGGAATCCTCAAGGCCCTCGACAATCGTATTTGTGTTTGGTCAAAAGGTAACAGATTCCAGTAAAGTTCAGTGGAAAAGGATACTGACAATTCGAACAGGTCCAAAAAAGAAAAAAGAGCCATAAAAATTATTTGAAGTCTGAAAAAATGCCCTATGGTGAGAGACTTAAGAAGTTCAGGCAATTAAGATGATCAAAGGGTAAGATGTGACTTGATCATGATCTATAAGAAGCTACTTAGGGCGAAGATTTTTGATAGGAGAGAGATATTTACTCAAGCAGACAAAGATCAAGTAGCCGCCAAACTGCAGACATATTCAAACTGGAAATAAGGAACAAAGTGAGGGCAATTAACAATTGTGACAACTTACTAAGGCTTGTAGTGCACTCTCCATCACTCGACGTTTTAAATCCAGACTGAATGTCTTTCTAAAAGATTTATCCAGAAGTTATGAGGACTCGTACAGAAGTTACTGGGTGAAATTCTATGGCCTGTATTAGGCAGGAGATCAGACTAAATTATCATAGTGGTCTTTTTTAATATTAAAACCCATGTAAAAATCAGTCATTTTCCCTGAGGTGTAAAAGTCGGTAATATGAAGCGGACAAAACCATTGCACCAGAGGCCAGATGGTACGATAAAAAATGATGAACTGAACCCAGCAAGAAACATATCGCTTTACTCACAAAAGCCAACATCAGAAAGACCAGTCCTGTCACTGCCGTCAGTAAGTCACTTAATGACTGCAGATTAACATCTGGGGCTGGATGCTCAGAAGGAATTAGGTGCTCAGTTTAGGCACCTGTCACTTTTGGCTCCACAGTGATGCCCAAAACCTCCCCCCGAACACTGTAGGTGACTGAACACAGTCAGTGCTTAGGCGTTCATAGTTAAAGTTCCCTAAGCACATAAATTGTCACTGGTAAAGTGCCCTCGGTGTCTCAGCTTCCACACATGGACACATGCACTGCTACCTTACTCCTGGAGTCTGGCTGCCTATGTCATCCCTCAGCCCCAGAGAAATGCTCAAAACACCTGGGGATAGACATCCACACACCTATCATGTCTGCAGGGCCTGATCTAGCAGGTGTGCTCAGCCCACGCCTAACACCTGACTTCTCCCTACCACCACGGCGCAGAATGAAGGGCACCAATGAGTACACAGCCCCCCAGTCCATGCATAGAAGCCACATGGGGGCAACAGAGAAGTATCAAGTGAGTGAGAGAGAGGTGTCTAGAATGAGCCAGTGAGACAGAAAGCGAGAGACAGCAATTCGGGGACCCAGCAGACTAGATAGAGCTAGATGTAGGGTACAGATGGGAATGGGGATTGGGTTAGTATGTAGGTGGACATAGCAGAGGTTAAGGACAGCTGAGGTAGACAGCTAAGGGGGGGAAGGGGAACCACCGATAGTCAGAGCAGGGAAGCAGAGAGGGTATCCTAGGAAGGGAGAGGGATGGCTGGGATTAAGCTAGGGAGGGGGAAGGACAACTGTGGGTGGAAGAGGGTGAGGGAGGGCTGCTTGGCAGAGAAGGGGCAACCAGACATACACCAATGATGAGCAACAGCACATTCATGCTGCAGCACTGTCCCCATCAGCGGCAACAAGATGGTGCCCCATCCTTAGCCCCAGTCCAAGCCTGATGGCAGCTGTCTATGAGGCCATCCTGAACCTACCGACCCTGCTGCAACTTCCTGGGCCTTTTATGGGGGACATGTATGCAGTGCTACCATCTGGACCCAGACACACTACCGCACCAATGCTACGTGCTGCACAACAGTCTCACCATCACCACACGCAGGAGCCATGCAACCTTCATCTCCATGCGGATCAGCATAGCCCTGGCTGCACTGTCCTCGGGATCCTTTCAACAAGTCACTGCCCAGACCTTCAACATCACCTCGACCCTGGCCTTCAAGGTACTATGACAGTTTCCGGGAACCACCATAAACCATGGGGGAGAATACAGTCAGCTCCTTTCCGACCCAGCCACCCAAAATTGAAATATGCTAGATTTTTACCTGACTGCAACCTTCCCACACATGCTATGGCTGGTGGATGGCAAGTATATTACTATCAGAAAACCCCAGCACAAGAGGGGAGGGATAGCTCACAGGGGGGAGGGATAGCTCAGTGGTTTGAGCATTGGCCTGCTAAACCCAGGGTTGTGAGTTCAATCCTTGAGGGGGCCATTTAGGGATCTGGCGCAGAAATTGTGGATTGGTCCTGCTTTGAGCAGGGGGTTGGACTAGATGACCTCCTGAGGTCCCTTCCAACCTTGATATTCTAGGATTCTAGGCGCATGTCTACATCTCCAGGCATAGAATGGATTCCATAAACATGATGGTCATCAGCAATGCACTTCTAAAAAGCCACTATTATTTACACTTGCCTTTCAGAGATGAGCACCATCACCAGACACCCGAGAGTGCCAACCTTGAGGACCTCCTCTGGAATCCCAGTGTGCAATGCATAAAACAGATACTTTCATTGACCGGCTCTCCTGGGACATGGAAGGGGGAGGTGGGTTGAAGGGGGCTAGGGCAGAAGATGAAGGGAAACAGAACCTTCCTGCCTTGTCATTGTGGCTCGTGCCTGTGCAGTGGTGCAAGTACTCCACTCAGCCAGCTGCCTTCTGTGACTGGTGACCCATAAAGCGCCTTCCAATGTTTTCTTGAATCTGTCCTACTGCTATTACTTATGGCATGGTCAGTGACTGATCCACGTGGTGTCCAGCTCCCCAGTCTCCAGTACTGCCATGGCTGAGAGGGTGACGGTTGCCACCCTCAGAAGTTTGGGGAGCTGGGATGCCCAGGCTTTCCCCACACTGGACCTCCCCTTCACCTAGCAATCACCTGCAAGCCAACTTTAGCCTGCTTCCAAATAAGTCTACCCTTCTTCTTAATGTCTGCCAGTCCCTGTGACCTCCCAGGGCATTGACCCAGGAGCTGCATCCAACACCTGTCACTATCAGCAGAGCTCCATTTCTGAGGCCAGGCATGGGTGAGTTCCTCAGTGTGGCCTGCCATAAGGTTATTAATGGTTTCAGTTTCAAGCTCGGTGACATTAGGCCTACACTGAGCATGCCACCACCTCCACCCTTGGAGCCCAGTGGCTGCTCCCTTGCTCTGGGACCTGGGACTTTTCATGCTGGTGCTGGGGTGCAGGCCAGTTAGGCTTCAGCTTTTATTGGGTGGTCAAAAGTGGCACTGTACAGTGACTTCATGAGCCCATGCTTGTGTGTGCTGATGAAACCTGATCCTTTCTCAGCACAGAGCAACTGTGTAATGCCCAAGTCCAGCCGCCTGGGTGCTACTAAGCATCTCTCTCTGCCATAGGCCGTTAAGTAGTTGCTGAACTCCTACCTTGTTTGGCTGCCTCTCTTTCTCTACAGACTGGCGGCACGCCAGCCTGACCTGGAGCTGGGCGCTGGGTTGCACAGCAACCAGCAGCTGGCACTGAGCCCAGCTGTAGAGTAATGCAAGGCGCTCTGGCGGCAGGGGAGAGGGAGGATTACCCGTGCCAGGGAGTTTTGAAGCAAAGGATTGCTCTCTGTTGAGGGTCAGGATGTGGTGTCTCCCCACATTCTTACTTATCTCTTCCTCTGGCTGTGTATGGCCCTGTTGGAGTGGTGGGGTTCCCCAGCTGGGTGTGGTGGAAGGGGGTGGGCTGTGCCTCTTCTGGGGCGGCTGTTGGTGCTGTGTCCAGCTGTATGACTCCTGTTCTTCCCCTGCTCACTCTGTCCACAGCCCTGGTGAGTATTAGAGTGCTGGGCGTCCTATTGTAGTGTTCTGTGGGAGCTATGTATTGTGGGGGGGCAGTGTTTGGGGAGCATGGGCGAGGGTGGCAGGGGTGCCTGGTGGGGTGTTGTTTTGGAGAGTGGGCAGGGGCCCATCTGTGCTGTCTTCCCTGCCAGTCTGAGGCTGCCATGTGATCCCAGAGTGTGTGTTTCAGCATAGGAATGAGCTGATGGTGGATTTTTGCAGTTGCCAGGTGACACTGAGACAGACATTTGGATCACCAGGTCCTCTATGGCAGCAACTAGTCCTAGAGGGAGAACAGCCTTATTACAGCTGCCATGATAGGAGACAGCAGCCCTCCCCAGGAGGGTCAGATCAGGGAAGAGTGTTCTCTTGAACTGCTCTAATGCATAGACCCATGTGTCCCCTGCTGCCAGAAGGTGCAGAGCTTCTCTGACGTTCCCTGGAATGTGACTGAGCGTGACTGCTGCTAGAGTGTGTCTTGGCTGGGTCTGCCAGGTTGCTGAGCATGTGGAAAAGGGATAAGGCAGTGGGTATGTGTGTAGGGAGTTTCCCTTGTTCACACCTTGGTTGCTTTGCCCTCCTCCTTGTGTCTGGGACTACATGTTTCTCCAGTGATTTGGAAGGATTTTTAAACTCACCATGTGTAGAGTCAGTTGCCTGTGTATTTAGAGTCCTGGAGCAGAGGAGCTGCTCAAGTGAAATGGTGTTTTTTGAGAGGAGCAGTGTCCTTACTGTCCTTGCAATTTCATGTTTTAAGATAGCAGTTTTTAGGAGGTTCTGTACGTGTCCCTCTGATTACAACATGTGAAGCTCAGTAGAGCTGACTTTCAGTGGGTCTGTTCCTCTGCTTGACCATCAGAGTTGGAGAGGCTGTCATGTGCATGTCAGTCAAGGCTGACATGTGTGGGTCTTGCCAAGTCTCTGGGCTGGAGTGAACACATCCTTACAGGTATTCACTCCTGACTTCCATTGACATCCATGGCAGTTAGGCACCTACATACGATTGTCCATCTGGCCAATGGAACCTCACTTGGTTTTCTTCTGAGCACCGCTGTGTAAAGTGGCTAACTCTCCCCATTCATACCACTGGAGCCTAAGAGGCTAAATCAGGCTTTGAGCAGCTCCGTGCTGTTCCTGTGATATTTTTAGCAGCCTAACAGTTAGGCAGTATTACACTCAGCGTCACAATGCTTAAATCCTTTCAAGCATCCAGCCACTGCTCCATAGGAATACTGCTGAGATGAGAGTAGAAATGGATGTTACTGATGCCTTGAACTCTTGGCTAACCAGAAGTTAAAACAGACAGACTGAATGGAGACTCTCTCAAACCCCTAGAGAAACTTCACCAGATGAATCATCTGGACTGTTAAGATGTTTTAATGTCAAATTGCATATATTTAAATTTATCCATATAGACTCACTTTGGTTTAAATCTTGGTCCTTTTCAAGTCCATGGAAGCTTAGCCATGGGCTTCAGTTGAAACAGGATTTAGCCTCTTTAACATTAACATTTAGAATAGGCCTGATTCTCTTCTCACTTAAACTCATTTTACACCAGTATAATATCATTGAGTTCATTTACCACTCAAAAGAATAAACCCTGTCATTTTCTGGACAAATGTATTCTTATATTGAAAAAGATACAAAACAAGAGAATAATTGCAATGATCCTAAGGGATATCTGAATTTACCTAGGGGGAACTGAGAGCCGAATCTGGCCAATAACTCTAAAGCAAAATGGACAAAATTGATCAGAATGGCATGACCTGGTAATATACTTATCCAGTTTCTTTTGCCAGTCTGATGTTCAAACAAATCATAAATGGTGTGTTTGAAATGCATTAGTTTACTGGAAGGAATCTGCTCTCAGGTCAGGAACCGAATGACAAAGCGTATGACTTCAGGCATTTACCTTAGGATTGTGTAGCAACCTGCATGGATACACCCTACTGAAACATATCCAGATGATCTGGTTCATCAGGTCAAAATAATCTTTGCTTCCAGTTCTAAAGCCACCCAACGTCCCCTAAAGACTAAGCATGCAGTACATTTTTAAATTGGTAGTGACTGCAGAATAATATCAAGAAGAGCTCTGTGTAAGCTCAAAAGCTTGTCTCTTTCACCAACGGAAGCTGGTCCAATAAAAGATATTACCTCACTCACTGTTTTCTCTCACTCGAAACTGGCAAGACTCCATTATGAATGTACAGTACAATGATCCACCTTTTCAAAAGTATGTGCTTAACTGAGAATCTAGTGTGAGGGGCCAAAAAAACCCCACAGAAACCTCTTCATTCCTGTTAAACCTTCTCAGGTTTTCAGGGGCACTTTCCTAACTCTCATCCCTTTGAAGTTGATAGTAAAACTCCCATTCACTTCAATGGGAGCAGAGTTAGGTCAGTCATGAGTGCTTCTGAAAATCCCACTCACTCATCCATCCAGTAATTTAACCAGCGAATCTGCTCTTCCAGTTGGATTCATTTATTTTTAGAGCACCCAGAACTGTGCTTGATGCTTCAGAATACAAAGAAAAAGCCAGAGACCCAGACCCTCAAAGTTTTTTAGGTGCCTAACTCCCACTGTGGATGCCTTTGAGGCTCTGGGCCAGAGTCTCTTTATGAAAAGCTTACAGTCAAGCTTTTGAATGACACACGAGAATAATAAACCAGAAAGGGGAAGGGCTGAGGCAGGACAAGCATAGGCGCTGGGACTGGAGCACCCACTGGGGAAAAATGGTGGGTGCTGAGCACCCACCGACAGCCCCCCTATCAGCTCCCCCTTCCCCCCGCCGCAGATCAGCACTTCCCACTGCCACGAACAGCTGTTTTGTACCATGCAAGAGGCTGGGGGGGGGGGGGGGGGAAGGGCAGAGGTGCGACGACATGGCACACTTGGGGGAGGGGTGGAACAGGGCAGGAAGGGGGGACAGGAAGAGGCAGGGCCTTAGGGGAAGAGGTGGAGCGGGGGCGGGGCCTGGGGTGGAGCTGGGCTTCAGCACCCCTCCGGCACTTTGAAAACTGTTAATGACACAATGATATAGTCACACAGTTATGGCATGTGCATATCCTGGCTGTTCCACTGTTTGTAGTGTTTTCTTTTACCCCTGCTCAGTTAAACACTCTTCCAACTGCCCCCTTGATTTCCCCTTCCGGTCCCTACATATTACAGCCCCCCAATCACATTTCCTAATCTCTTCCTCTCACTTCCCTCAGGACAGTAAACAGTCCTTTGCTGCAGACACAATTACACCTGGAGTCTGTTACTAATCACGTCTGGGGAGCTCCTGAGCTCCAAGACTAGTGAAGGGGTCTCTCCTAGTGCTCCTACTGCTGCTGCTCTTCCGCCTTTCACCCTGAGAGTTTGGGGGAGGGAGCATCTCCTGTCCATGTGGTAGCTAGAGGGAAAAGGCTAAAGGTCCTACTTCCCTCAAGATCCCCAGTCCCTGAGCTTCTGGCCCTCATTGTTTAAAAAAATAAAATTAATACTGAAAACTCAACTAGGCTACCGCATTAAGATTCAACTCTATTTGCACCAAGGGTCAGTCCCTGATTAGGGGGGTGTAAACATGTTGGAGAGCATTTTTCCTATAGATAAATCTCCACACAACATCCTGCTACATTTGCCCACACAAGAGCTAATCCAGCTCCCACGGAAGTCAAATGACTGAAATGGGACTTAGATCAGCCCAGAACAGAGATCTTGCTTGTATTTCCTCTTAGTGCCAAACCTAGCTAAACTATACACTAGCAATTAGATGGCCAGGAGCAAATAGTTTGGAGCTTAAGCAGAAATATAAACAACTGTTTTCTCTTCACTAAAGAAACTATTAGTGACTTCTCATAACTGAAATATGCAGTGAAGAAAAGACATACTCTGGCTCTTCCCTACCCTTCTCCCAGTGCAGAAAGGTCTTTCCTGCTACCGCCTTCTCTTTCCTTTGCCATGCCCTGCAGAACGTACTTCCACTGCCTCCCTCGCTCCCATAACTGACCTGAATCCACGTGTCCCTCCCCACTTGACTCTGCTCCACAACACAAACCACCTAACCAGCTGTACCTCTAGTGAAATGGGAGAAGTGGGTGTGTTACATGTGTGCTTGTCCTGGCAGGTGACTGGTTGCTGTTGTACTTGCTGAGAAAGGATTTTGGAGGGTTAGTGCAATGTCAACCCTCGCCAGACTGGTGTCTCTCCAAAGGAATTAAGATAAGCAGACAATAGAAAAAATATAAGCAAACCTCTTTGAATCTTTGTACAAAGGATTGGCGGGGCTTAGTTCAACTAGCCGCGAATGACTAGCTGCCCCTGGAAACTATTATATTGTTAACATAAACTGTCTGGAAATAATTGTGTAGGTTTATTGGTTAGGTTGTCTCAATACTAAAGAATCACAGTATGTATTGCATCTACCATTTTAGAAAAACATCCTGGCATATGGGTGGAGACTAGAGTCTAAACAAGTGAGCAATACTGTATGAAGCCAGAATATGAGAAGACATCCTGTATACCATGTCACAAAGGAACTTCCTCAAAGGAATGTGTGAGGCACCTCAGCCAGTGACAGCCAAGGAGCTGTCATTATCTCTCAATGCCTGTATTGGCTGTCTGGCAAGTAGGTATGTGTAGTATTCAGTGAAGTAGTTTTCCTATCAGTTAAACATCCTCAACTCCTATTATCTTCAGTTGGTGAGGAAGATGGCCATCCCCTACTTGGCAGGAGGCCAATGAGCACCTTGTTGGATCGGGCCCCTCAGTAATGCCAAAATGTACTTATTGGATCATATTAAATATTTGGATTTTAAAAAATGAAATAAATAGCAAAAACTCAGTTGTGCTATGTTTTAATATGCTAATTTCTTGGGTTAAGGCGCCGAAGTCCCATGTTTAGGCTCCCCTGCAATCCACAAGACTCCCACTGAACCCTGCAAGCACCTAAACTCACTCAGCGCCTATGTTTTCAGGGTAAAAGTTCCTTAGTGTCTAACTTTCTCCC